ATCCCCAGGGGGCCACATATAACATTCAGTATAGGTAGTGCTACAGAGGATTGTCAGAGACTGCAGACACACTGCTGAAGATGGTCAGAGACTGGTAATATGCTGCAGATATTGTTGTAATAGGTCTAAACAAAAAAGGGCTAAGCGAGCGCTACAAGAAAAGCTGCAGCGACACCACAAAAAGGTAACCAAAAAGACCTCCTAGGTAAATGGGTGGGTACGATTAGCTGCGAGAACCCTCAGCCTTTTGAATGTAATCACTGGCAGGGTACACTTGCAAGTGTGAATGCATCCTTAAAGCAACTCTATCACTAAAATAAATGTCCAAACTACAGTTTCCCCTGCAAAAAGGCACTGTATACTCACCCCACCTACTGTTGATCTCTTCAATATTGAAAGGAAAATGCTAGTTGCAGATCCTGCAGAATCTGACAGTTCTTGGGAGTGGTGATTTCCATGCCTCTGCTTTCATTATTATTATAATACATTGGTTGTCATTTATAGTGTAACTCATTTTTGTTTTTAAATTGCTAGTAGTCAATGTCTTTTTGTAGAAAAGACTCTGTATTTGCATTTTTTCAGTGCAGAACAGATCTGTGCTAGAATAATGCAACTTCCTCAAGCTAGTGCAGGAGTTAAAGCATCCTTGACCACCCAATGGCTTCATGAAGAAGGCAGACACAGGGTGTGGAAGAAGCAACAGAGATGGTGCCAGTAATGAAGCAGCATAGAAAAGAATGAAGCTGTCATTGCTGAAGGAGGTCAAACCCAGAAGTAGGTTTGCCATGATGGGCAGGTATGATGTGTGTACTTGCACATTAGGAAAAAGTGCTCCCAGGGCCCCGCAGGTTTCAGTTTCATTTCATGCATTTATTTATATGAATAGATATGCATCTCATGATCCGCAACCCTATCTTCCACATGGGTTTTACATAACTGATTAAATTTCACTCATGGGTGTCGAAGTGACTTTATAAACTCTATAATCAGTTGATGCTAAAGGGAAACAATAGCATTACCTCATTACAAAGCTCTCACAACACTCGTCGTTGGAGATCTACTGGTAAAAATTAAAACTTCTTCACCTACATTTCTGCTTCTCCTATCTGATTGGATTTTTATACTCTTGTCAGTCATAATCAGTATATTTTTTGTCTTCAACATTTCCTTCTATGTATTTTGTTTGTTTTAATAATACTGAAAACCTTACTTAAAGCATGCATAAGATTGTCTTCATCCACACTATTAAATAACCTTCCTCCGTGAAAACTCTGATATCAATAGTATACAGTGCCTTGAAAAAGTATTCATACCCCTTGAAATTTTCCACATTTTGTCATGTTACAGCCAAAAGCGTAAATGTATTTTATTGGGATTTTATGTGATAGACCAACACAAAGTGTCACATAATTGTGAAGTGGAAGGAAAATGATAAATGGTGTTCAAAATTTTTTACAAATAAATATCTGAAAAGTGTGGCGTGCATTTGTATTCAGCCCCCCTGAGTCAAAACTTTGTAGAACCACCTTTCGCTGCAATTCCAGCAGCAAGTCTTTTTGGGGATGTCTATAACCAGCTTTACACGTCTAGAGAGTGACATTTTTGCCCATTCTTCTTTGCAAAATAGCTCAAACTCTGCCAGTTTGGATGGAGAGCGTCTGTGAATAGCAATTTTCAAGTCCTGCCACAGATTCTCAATTGGATTTAGGTCTGGACTTTGACTAGGCCATTCTAACACATAATTATGCTTGGAGCTAAACCAGGGCTTAAAATTTTGAGTCTAGACCTAATAGCCAGGCACAAACCTTACTCTCCACCAGTTGCCCCACCCAGCCTTGCCCAAGTCCGCCTCCAACCCCAACCCCGCCCCGCCCCCAACCTCGTCCCCAGCTCTGCCCCAACCATGCCCCCTTAAAGTTTATGAAATTACATTTTTCTTTAGAATAAAGAGTCCAAAATATAAAACTGTATACAGTAATGTATATCCCAGCTCCCTTGTACTCCATTATAGTAATGACATGTATACAGTAATCATTACTGTATACATGTCATATCACTATAATGGAGTACAGGGGAGCTGGGATATACATTACTGTATACATGTCATATCACTATAATGGAGTACAGGGGAGCTGGGATATACATTACTGTATACATGTCATCACTATAATGGAGTACAGGGGAGCTGGGATATACATTACTGTATACATGTCATATCACTATAATGGAGTACAGGGGAGCTGGGATATACATTACTGTATACATGTCATCACTATATTGGGTACAGGGGAGCTGGGATATACATTACTCAGTAATGCATGGTCAAATTCTGGTGCCTTTTATACTGTACATGTTTAGATGCCATGCAGTATTGTCATAACTACAAAGTGAGGGAATGGGTATGAAAATTAAGGTTGTTAGTACGACATTATTATTATACAGGATTTATATAGCGCCAACAGTTTGCGCAGCGCTTTACAGTATAAGGGAGACAGTACAATTACAATACATTTCAGTACAGAAGGAATGTGAGAGCCCTGCTCATGGAGCTTACAATCTAAAGGAAGGGGAGATGATACAAAAGGTAATAGCTGCAGGGGATGATCTGGTGGAGGTGATTCAAGTACAGTTCTTAGGTGGAGGTGGGGTAGGCTTCCCTGAAGAAGTGCGTTTTCAAAGATCGCCTAAAGCAGACAGGGTGGGGGCTGACCGGACATGCTGTGGTAGGGAGTTCCAGAGGATGGGAGAGGCTCTGCAGGAAGATATCATGGGAGGAGCGGAGTGGGCAATTTGGCCGATATCTATCTTACTCAATTTCTATTACTATGACTTCACTTTGGTTGTAAATTAAATGTAAACTCAACCTCTAAAATCACATATACAGTAAGTTTTCACGTTAATTGTATTTCAAATGTAAATTACAATGTTATTAAATGTACAGCTTTTATTAAAATAATACATGACGATCCTTCTATAAAGGATACTGTTAAAGGGTGACAACACTTAATTCCTATCTATCAGTTATGACTTCCACACATTGTGGAAGCATGGTCTACTGTTGTCATCTTCAGAAATTCCCTGCAGCAAACATTGTGAGCTTGTAGACAGGAACTGGCTGCAAAGAAGCTGTAGGCAATCAACAGCAATGAGATGCAAAAAAAGATGAGAAAATAGTAAAAACATTATTTTATTCACAAAAACTTCCAATTGTTTATGATACCCAATGCTTCAGCAAAATAACCATAATTTAGATATGATTTACATTTACTTTAAGGCAAAACTGTTAGCAGTATTTCACAAACCATATATAAAAGCTTACATTAGTCCAGACAAAACATTTTACGATTGCCATAAATACTGTACACTTCAAAGGGTCTGATTTTTGTCTGTCAACAAAACTTGACATACAGACACATTGGGGTTGATTTATTATAACTGCAAAGTGCAAAATCTGGTCCAACTCTGCATAGTAGCCAATCAGCTTCTAACTTCAGCTTGTTCAATTAAGCTTTGACAATAAAACCTGGAAGCTGATTGGTTTCTGTGCAGAGCTGCACCAGATTTTGCACTCTCCAGCTTTAGTAAATCAACCCCATGGTGGTCACGTATTCAGGTACAACCTGACCATCTAACAATTCCATTTTCTATACATATGTACTTAAACATGGAAGCTCAAGTAGACATGTCTATGCATTATCTATGCATGGGCAGATGCCCCGCTAGGAACAACCAGTGGTATGAAAGCTATCCATGCCTGTTTCTGTGTACTACTATTACTCAGTAAAATGTTTATCACCTGCTGGGCTAATTTGCAGATGCTGTGCATTAGAAGGGACAATTCATTTTTGTACAAATCAGGAAACATTGAGACGAGGTGAAATGTTTCATACAACATAATTTTATTCAGTAATGATTTCCTGGGGTTATATGTTTTACAAATGTTCAAGTCACTTGAATATGTCCTTAAGAATATGTTGTTTGGAGACAACTGCTTGGGTTGCCCTTACAGTAGGTACCCCCCCCCCCTCCCACCCCCCCCCCCCCCCCCCCCCCCCCCATCCTGGCAAACTTGATTGGAATATCAAAAAATGCTCCTACAATGTAATTTAGAGCACTGAATAATACATTTATCTGTTGACTGAGCGTTTCATGGGCCTCAATATTAGCACAACTTTCCCTTTAAACCTTATAAAACATTCATAGATGCACCATATATAAATATACTTCAAATGTATTTTTTTGTTAAAAGGCAAAGTGTGATTTTTTTATTACTCCTGCACTTACACTTGTTGAACTACTGACATACATTGTGTTTTATTGGGTGTTTACATGAAAATATCAATTATGACAGCAGCAGTTGTCTGAAGAATGTTGAAAACTTAAAGTTAAAAAGGAAGGACTGGAAGTAGCAACAAGGTGATGATACTGGGATGTCCAGCCTTTCATTTGAATGCAAATGCATTGGGGGGGCAGGCAGTTATCTCTGACATCAGACAGGGCCTTAGTAAACTGTTACTGCCAGCACCTGGTCACACCATTGTTAGTCATGAGTAGCAATGAGACTCCACAGTTAGCAGGGGTCATTTATAGATAGGCTGGAGGAGTGAAAGAAGCAAGGGTCATTTTAAGAGGACTATACAGCTAATGATGACCACGGAGGAAGTGGTACAACTATGAACGTCGCATATCCTGGGTGTAAATCCGTTAACATGTATCCACTTTCTGTAAGGCCAACAAATAACAACCATGCGGGGCAGAATTATGTGTCCAGTCAGCCATACTTTAACTATGTGGCTTATCATCATGTACCAACTATGGATAATCAAGTGCAGTCCTGTGGAGTCTGGGGATCACAGTATGGATCACCTCGGGAGGACTGGAGTACTTACTCTGCTTCACCATCCAGCGCAAATAACATACAGACCTCTGACTTATCACCCAGCCAATTTCCTTACAATTCTCCTGGCTATAATTCTCCGCATCCTTCCGGACTTGGGATTATGCAAACAGCAGAAGGGAATCATACTGCTGCACACTCACCCAGCGGTCAAAGTCAAAACTCTTATGAATGGATGAGGAAAACAGCACAATCTACATCTACAGGTATGTGAAAGAAACTACACTTAATAGATTATATCAATACTCATTGAAATAAGTTCTTTCTCTGTCTACACAGTTTGAATCTGGCTTTCTATCATACAGTTTATATGATTTATATGGTAGTTAATGTCTGAATGTGAACATTTTTAGAGCAGCATATTCCAGACTCAAGTTTCTTACAGCATTAATAAAGGCATAAATAAATTTACACACACCTTTCAAAATCTGACATTTTAACTTGCAGGTGGTTCAAACTGTCCACAAATCGAGGCAAACCTATCGTATTGTATTAACAACTCCCCATTTATTGCACTACGATTAAGAAGGATCAGTAATGTATAAGCCAGCATGCAGGTAACTAACAGTTGAACATAGCAGTATGCAGAAAAACTGTACTGTATTGCACTGTGAATCAAACAGTAGCAGCATGTTGTTCACATGTGCAGTACAATTATTGTACAAAAACTAACAGCAGTAAGGTACTGTAGTAAAGTGCCTTGTTTATTGTAGGGTGTAACAGATTTAATAGATCTATAAAAGCTGTCAAACTAATATGAGGTCGGTAACAATTATCTAAAGCAAACTGTCTTATTCACAGGAAAATTAACAAATACATTAGCTGCAATCGTTTATAAGGTATATGAACAGTAATGTTTGGCAACAGAGATCAGAAAAATAATCTTTTTATAACATAAAACCATATGCTTTAAAATCATGAAAATTATCCCTTATCCCTAGTTTGTGCATTCCAACCATCTGAACTATTCATCAATTCTTCCTACAAATATTGCAGGAGAAAGAAAAAATGAAAAACAGCAATCATAGGTACAATTTGAGCTTTTCTTTTTTTATCATTATTATTATTATTATTATTTTCTGGATAGGGAGTCTGAAACTGATATTCTCATTGGACCAGGGGCGGACTGACCATTTGGAAACTCGTGCACTGCCCGAGGGCCCGGGGTCAGTAGGGGGCCCCATGAGATGCCCCTGGTAACTTTTTCATAGGCTTTTTTGAGTTTGAGCAAGGACACTTGGGCCCCATGATCCCCTATTGCCCGGGGGCCCCATGAGTTGTCAGTCCGCTCCTGCATTGGACTCAGCTTTTTTGGTAGAAGAAGTAGAAAAGAAGTAGTGAAGTGTACTCTGGCAATAGGTTGATAAGTAATATTATTATTATTATTATTATTACATCGAGTTTATATAGCGCCAAAGGGTTTGCTCAGTGCTGTACAATAGAGAATTGAATCATCCTGACTAGCTGTAGACAAGCACCAGCTGATCTAAGGAGCTTTATTGGTTCTGGAAGGGTTTATAGGAATATGTATGCTTGCCTTCCTTATGAAAAGTATGCTAGCCCTACTTAATCAATTGTCAGAGTGTAAACTACAAACACTTTGACTTTACTCCAGTTCAGTAGTATGTGAATGCCACTCAAGTACAAACATATAAATTACATATTGTCTAGTGCAATGCACCTGTGTTTGTAGCATCTCATCAAGTACATGGAACAAAACGCAATCAGAACTAATAATTGGATAAATAATGAGCAAATTTTAGACAAAATAAATAAAATTTTTCCATTAAATGCTGCAATATAATTTTTCTGACTGAATTTAGTCCACCTGTGATGCTAAAAATTATGTCCTCAGCTGCAAGTAGGTGCCCTGCAGTTAAATTACTACATTGCTCTACAGGCCCATTGCTTAAAAGATGTTTCTTTTGCAAATGCCCATTACAGCTGATCTGTACAGACTACAGTAAGTGAGGGTTGTAAGGCACATAGGTCGTGACAGGACATTGCATCATCTACAATATATGTGAATTGAATAGTGAGAATGATAAAATATGCTCAACAGCCATGTCCTTTCTCTATTACAGACTGGAAGCAAGTGTGCTGTCTCTAAGTTATAAAGGGCATAAATATAAAACAAATACATCAATAAATCAATAAATATATGATCAATTCATCCAATAAGTGCAACTTCCAACTCGAGAAGGTGCTAAGTGCAAACAGTGTGCATTCTCTAAATACAAAAATGCATACAATATTTGCCTAATTCATCACCAAAATTCACATGCATGAATGTGCTCATATAGTGCAATTAATTATCATGCAAAATAATGCTTAAACTGCAATGTAAAATTCATACAGGGAAAAATAAAAAAGGATTGAGAAATAAAAATAAAATTAAAACTAAAAAGTATAAAGTTCCTCAACGTCTCTATTACAGCCTATGTATCTAAAACAACAGTGGCACCAGGTGAGAAGATGTATTTGTAAAGATCTGTCTGTTTAGGCTCTGTACTAGAGATAGAGACATATAATATAGATATAGATCTATATGTTTCTACATTCATTTCATCCGCAACAGTGAGACCCTTTCTGACACCACATCCCAGTATTACACCATAGCTCCAATTATAGTGGGATTTTTAAGGTGTCACATACAAAAAAGTATACTATATTTTCATTAAAATATAGTATTTTATGTAATACGATAATAAAATGACAACAAATCAAATCAAATATTTTAATTAAAAAATATTTACACTTTCTGTACTTGGGACACCTTAAGTGTTTACATTTATACAGTGGGGAAGCAACTTTAAAGACTGAAAATTTCCATGGTATATTTGTGTTTATTATTATATTAAATTCTTGATAAATGGCATTTTGCATATTATTAATAAGTAATTATTCATTTCAATGGGCCAGGTTAATAATCATTAAAAAAAAATAACCAGGTTTATTTTTTTTTTTGCATGTTTCATGACTGCTTTTGTCTTCATATGATAAGATGAAAGTAAATACCACATAATGTTCGAATAACTTTTACAGAGCAGTATGACAAATAAATGCAGGCGTCATTTGGCCCTTTCGGTCATGTTAAGGTAGCAAGGCCTTTATTCACACCTCTACTGCTTTCGCTTTGATATGCAGCTTTGTATTCCCATAGTCCCTTTTCTCCTGGGGTTATACAGCCGGAAAGGGTGCTGATTTTCACAACATATAAAAGAGATCCAGGCTTTTATTGCAGTTGGAAGACTTTTATGATCATCATGACTTTAATGATGTATGGCTTTCCTCCTAGTAAATCAGGAGTATATTTAGAAATGTTCAGCAAATTTGAAGCATGTTTGCAACTTATAATATATATTTTAAACAAAATAGCTTTAAGTATTGTATTTACACACCTTAATTTCCAAATGTACAGACAAACATCTGGCAAAGTCATAAAGTTGGGGGATGAGCATGGGAACAAGTGACCCAAAACACATTGGTTCTTACTCTACAATGGACACTACTATACAAAGAGTATCACAAAAGCACAACAGGTTTTTGGAAATATACAAAAGGAATCTAACTACCAACATCATTGGGAAGGTGCAATAAACAAACACTAAGCAATTGACCTCTCTAAAAGGATATTTCCCACAGGGCAGAAGTCATGTCCGCAAAGAGTAATAGGGAAGAACATCTATAAATAAAGGACACCACAAATTTGTTCAAGAATATAATTAGACAGATATATTATTTACTGCGATATAGTAAGAAGGCAGACTGAAAGGCCATTTTTTGAAGACATCATTATTATTATATAGGATTTGTTTAGTGCCAACATTTTACATAACAATTTACAAAATAAAGGGAGACATACGGTTACAATACAATTCAATACAAGAGGTTTAGGAGCGTCTTGTTTATGAGAGCACAACATCTAAAAAAAAGGAAGAAGTGATAGGCCCCTTTCACACAGGCGGGCCGATCGGTTCTGCCTGTCCATTTTTTCAGGCGGACCCAATAAGACGATCCATTGCCCTCTATGGAGCTGATGATGTAAATGAACATGTAAATGCCTGCATCCAATCTGATCCACTATGAACAGACGGATGGAGGATTTGTTCCCCATCCATCTAGCAGATCGGATCAGATGACAGTCAGATGTAAATGGACAGGCAGTCCAGTTACATCTGACTGCTCATAGAGGAAAGCAGCTATGTCCGTGTCCGCTCCGCTTATGCAGACCTGACATCTGCCTGCTCAGCCAGGATCAGTGGACAGATCCCATGTTCAGCAGGCGGATCTGCTGGCAGAATCTGCCCATGTGAAAGGGACCACACAAAGGTAATAGCTGTGAGACTTTCATATTTTGGCACAAACATGTAATGTAAGTTATTTCCTCCTCGGACGTCTTCCATGTGTGCTGCTGCTAAGTGAACTCCAGTAAAATGGCCGTCGTTCGCATGCATCGTGCATGTTTGAACGGACCATTACGACGTCAATTAGCGATACCGCGCATACGGTATATAAGCAAGCATATTCAATGAGGCACACTCCCTTTGATAACGTGCATGGGCACGAAACACGTAGGGGAAGTGCCCTACCCTGTGACATCACTCCGCACAGCCCACATGGACAGTCGGCGGCCATTTTGGTTACTGTTTTATACCAGTTAAGAAAGTGAGTGTTTTTCCTTGTTATCACCCTTATAATTCAAATAAAGTACTACGCTATTGGAGATTTTCTCTTTTTGGCTTGTCTACCACGAGCTCCCCCCCCCCCCCCTCCAAGGTGAATCCTGGGAACCCTGCATTACCTGCATGCGTGGTTCCCTCTGCTGTTTGGAGAGTGGATCTCTGGAGCCTGGATATTCCTATGGTGTGCTACCTGCCTAGCTGACGCTTGCCAGATGACCCCCATTGTTCCAGTTTCCAGATGCAGATGACCAGGAGTTGGTCTTGATTTACTCAAATGCGCATTAGTTTGCGCTTTCTGGTTAGTGCAATCTACACTCATCCTATTAGACACCATGGTCACGGATTTTGACCAATTTTGCTGCTATTTGAAATTTTTATACACCACTATATGCACCTTATGACATTAAGTCTGGACGTTCTCACATGCGATTGCTTTTAGTGCCCTAGAGTGCAAATTTATATGATTGATTATTTATGCTACCTTCTATCTGTATACCATTATATCTGTATACCATTATTCATTTCAGCAGCACAGAGTGCAAATTTATATAATATAATATTGATATGGTTTTTATATTATCTATGTTTTATGACATAATATCTATCCATTATTAGCACTGCATGTACACATTTTATGATTCTAAGGAAAGGTTTTTAGAGGTTTTACCTTTTTATGCTAGCGGCTATATCTATTTTATCCAGCGCTCGTTTATTATCTATTATTCATGTAATGTATATTTGTATGATTCATTTCATACTAATTACTCATGTAATGTCTAAATGCTTGTCCTCCATTACAAAATACATGTGTGAGTAAACCTAAATAAATACAGCTGCAGTAATATTGGGACAGCTATTGCTGAACTCCTGGAAATGTTATTGCCTGGCTGTTCCATCAATATTTTCTTGTCACAAACAAACTAGCATCAGCAACATTTCTCTTGCTACAGATTCCTTTAGTTAAGTTACAAGTTAAGCTAACCATAGACATGTGATTTGCCTGATCTGGTTATTTGTGGCTAGATCAGGTAATGATCTTATATCTATGGGGACTCCATCACTACTGCCACCCTGAAGAAATACTCAAAAAAACAAGCTGGAAGCCTGCACCAGTTGCCATGGTTCCTCCCACTATGACAGTGAAAGTTCCCGCTTTATCCCCTTCTCTTCACTATAGTGCAACACCATGAGGTTAATCAGGCTGGGCTTGCAGGTTTATGCCCCTTTGGAAAGTTCTTTTTTCTTGGCTGCAGTTGGATCATGATTGCATGCCTGACTGACTTGCCTAAATCTGTAGAATCAGGAAAATGCATTCAGTATTACAAGCCTTAGTACCAGGATAAAATTATTTCAACACCATTCTGATCACTCTTGCCTCAATTACATCTTCATGCTTGCATACTGGGAGTCTCCAAACATATTTCCTGTATATGGCAGGTGACCTTTTGAAAGAACAGCAAATATGTGCAGAAAATGCCAGATTAATTTTTGAAATGGTAATTTATTGGGCCATGTATGACCTCAAGCTTAACATTTGGAGATGAAAATTGCCTTATCTAATTGTTTTCAACCAGAATAGGCAACTAATGTAGATTGTAATAGCAGATGTTTACTGGCCAAAAGCTATTAGGGTAAGGGTAAACCCAATTTGTTGCAAAGTTTCTTACCTAACAGCACTTTCTGCTCCAGGCTGGACACGTGAAGTCATTGTCTCTCAGTTAGCAGCAGCATTGTCAACATGCCATACATACTCCTTAAGTTGACCATCGGGCTACCTATCAGGACTGTGCATGCCTCCTGCAGACCTGACAAGCAGCCCAATATCCAACTTAATAAGCAGGACAGGCTGATAAAACTGCAACTGATTGGGAGGCAGTGGCTTTTTATTGTCATCCCACAACAGGAAATGTCTATGCTTGCAGGACCTCCAGGTAGTAACACAGTTTTTTTTTTCAACACATTCATAAAAACTAATAAAATCTTGCTTAAGAAAAGTGCACACAGTCAGGCATATGAAAGGTAGTTTTACATGAATGATGTATGATGCTGTCCGATACTGCCAGCACTCCTTACTTCAATCAGAAACAACATCAATTATGGAATGTCTTCTTATCTCAGAAATGGCAGCAAGTCTGAGGCAAAGGACTTGGGCTCTCCATAGACATGAGACAACTTTGATTATATATCGTTTGTAAAGGGACCCTTGAGCTGCATTCAGACATATGCTACTCTATGACCCTGGCCAACACTCCTTGGCCAAGCCTGCCATGGGGACACTGATCAGCTGGGTTATATTTTCATGATCAATGCCCTTCTTCTTCCATAGGCACAGACACGTATGTTCACCGAATGCAACCCTGCACGTTTGTAGAAATATCTTTTATAGAAAGATTGTTTGGTGGTTAGGCTGTGTAAACAGCTGAAGTCTCATGTTTGTTGGCAACATTAGATTCAGCTTTACTTTATGCAACTGCTTTTCATAAAACAATGCCTCAAAAGAATGTTTACATGTGTCAAAACATTTTTTAAAGTACAAAGATATAAAAGATAGTAACATATTATCTAGTAATCCTCTTGTCTTTGATTTTATTGTAACAGTACTGATTCCCTTTATTTTGTAAAGAAGTGCACACACTATTAAAACTCTATAAATCCTGTATAATAGTAATAATTTTATAACAATGTCTACTAAGGGTTGAATTGCTAAAGGCAAATAGGCTGTTCACTTTTTAAAGAGAATTTTTACTTTGCAAGAAAAATGTTCCTTAGCTAAGTGAATGTGATGAGGCCGTAGTCAAATTTTTCCCAAGCAAAAGTAGTAGTTTTTATTTTTTCCTTGCACATGATTAAGTATTGTTTACAAAGTGAATTTTCACCACATTCTCTTAGCTAATTAAAAATGGACTTGCAAAGTGAAAATTCCCTTGCAAAAAAAACAACGTATTTGCTTTTAGTAAATCAACCCCAGTAAGTCAAACAATGAATAAACATTTTTTTTTCTGAACAATTCAGACAGTCTTTGGTATGAAAAATATTTTTAGCCCAATTTCTTGAATGACAATCCTACAGTACTTTCCCTAACATGAAAGGGAGTGTGAGCAACACTTTCTGTCTTTTGCTTGTCAAAGACATTCATTGATAAGATCACCTTGTAGCTCTTTTGTCTGCTATCAGTTTGAAATTAGCACCTCAATAGAACTTAGAGAACCAATTTGGGCATCTTTGTTCCTCTGTATGATTCCAAACTTACATCAAAGAGAATAAGGAAGGATCAAAGGCATCAGCACACTTAGGTAGTGTTGTATTTGTTTGTTATCTTCACAGTTGTGTTTTGCTTTGTTTCTTTGCTATTTTTCCCCCTTTGAGTTGGTCACATCCTGTCTCAGCAGAACACAGAGATACCTGGAGGCAAGACTCTTAATGACCCCTAAGTACCAAGTGTTACTGCTTCCTTACAGTTTATGGTAGTAACCAATACATTATGAAAACATGAGTACAAATATGTTGTCTGCAAACAGGAGCAGGTTGTCTTACAGGTTTGGTTACCTTTAGAAATATCAACTGATAATACATTGCAAGCAGAAAAAATTCTCATCATAAATAAACCTGGTCAGCCTGATACTCTCCAGTTGTACAGGAACTACAGGTCTCAACATGCCTTGTTATTCACCAATGGAACTTATTGCTTGTTGGGTTGTACTACATATTGATAATATCAATAGGAATTTATTAATCACAATAACTAAAAGATTAAAAGATTAATATAAAGGAATTTTAGTATTCTCATGCAAAATGAATACAATTTCAGCAGTGCTGGAATCAATTTACAAGTGCAGTTTTGATTTTCTAGGTAAGACAAGGACAAAGGAAAAATATCGGGTTGTTTACACTGACCATCAGAGACTGGAGCTTGAAAAAGAATTTCATTATAGTAGATATATTACTATAAGAAGAAAAAGTGAACTTGCTGCTAGTTTAAGCCTTTCTGAGAGACAGGTAAGTTCTTATTCCTTTAAAATATCAGTCAGCTCCCCTCCATTTTTTTTCATAAAAATTTAAAGGATAATGATTTGTGCAAACAAGCACTAGATACTAACAGGCAGAGGGCTCCTTCATAATGTTTCCTCATCTAGGCAAATGTTTTTTAGCCTATAGTGCTAAATAGGAGCTCCACCCAAAAGGGGAAGTTCCACTTTAAAGACTGGTTCCCCATTAAGGATTGGCATCTTTGGGGAGCGAGTACCCAAAATTGACAGGTACCCGCTCCCACTTCAGTTGCGTTCACCTAGGCGATCAGAAGCGGAAGTTGTCCTCCTACCCTCCCTCCCCGTAGTCTTCTGGGACACATGACAGGTCTATGGGACCATTCAGGAAGCGCAGCTCTACTCACACATGCACAGTGGGCACATGGCTGTGAAGCTGCAAGCTGTCACAGCTGGGTGCCCACACTGAAGATGCAGTCACCTGGAACACCAGACGGCTGGTGAAATGGGCTGCAGGGAGGACAACGCGGGATCGTGGGACAGATGAGTTGCTGTTTTTTAAAAGTCAGCAACAACAGTTTTTGTAGCTGCTAACTTTTATTTTTTCACAGTGCGACTGGAACTCCACTTTAAGCTATTTTCTCTTGGTCAAATGATATTAAGGCTTTTTTCTCTTAAGATTGAATGTTAGTAAATTATACATTTGCCCTATGAAAGACAACAAACAGCGATTTGATAATTTGCATATTTTACAAACAATATGAGAATAATTCTTGACTTTGGCACGAAAGCTGAAATATTCGCAAAGTGAATAAGTAGATCCCTTTATGAGAAGCAGACCCACTTCCACAAAGTAGTGTTGGAAGGTTGTGCTTTGAACCTTTGATAAGCCAAATAATGCATAAATATTAAAGTTTAGTTGAACCCTTACCTTGTAAAACAATCCATTCAGTTTAACCACTTGATCTCCAGAAGGTTTAACCGCCTTCATGATCAGGCCATTTTTTGCTTTTTAGCACTATGCTGAAACAAAATGTGATATAAACAAAAATAAGAAATTTTTTTTTAAAAGAAACCCAATATTTTTTACTTTCTGCTATAAAACATATCCAATTAAAAAATTACAAAAATCAAATTTCTTCATAAATTGTGACCAAAATGTTTTCTGCTACATGTCATTGATAAAAAAAATTCCCAATAAGTGTATATTGATTGGTTTGTTTGAATATGGTATATATACTGTATTTTGTATTTTTTTTTTTATACTACTAATGGTAGTGATCAGCGACTTATAACGAGACTGTGATAGTGTGGTGGGCAATTTGACACTAACTGATGCTGGGGAAAACTAACTGCTACTGACACCAACAGTGACATTAAGACAGTGATCAGTGATAATGATTGTCACTGTACAAATGACACTGGCTGGGAAGGGGTTAACATCTAGGGCCATCTAGGGGTTAAATGTGTGCCTAGCTATGTGTAAAGTGTGCTGCTTTTACTAAGATATCTCTCAGTTTCTCATCCCTGATGTGAAACAGAGAGATTGTTCCCTTTGTACAGAGCTCTGTGTTGATTGTCAACACAAAGCTCTGGGCTGTTATTGTACACAGACTATCAGCAGGTCCCGGATCAGCAGGTCCCATGAATCATTGGCCTGGACTTGCTGACAGGCTCCCGCTGTGTAAAATGGTGCTAGCCAAGAAAGGGGGAAGGAGTACAATGCCATGCCCTAAATCTGTAAGCAGGCAGAAATCTACAGGTATGTTGCTTAGCCTGTGTGGGCTGCTTGTCCACAGTACATTGAAGGTGGACATTCTACAAGTGGTTAAAATAGAAATGGAAGGCAAAACCTTTGTGTATTTAACAAAACAAATGATAAGTACCGTTTAAAAAAAAATGTTTTATATGTAATCACATAACCTTTGTTCTCAGCTGCATAAGGGGCTTTGAGAGGTAGAGGTGGAGACTGAAGGGGGCGTGTCAGCAGGAGGCAGAGAAACAGCAGGACACAGATCTAGTGCAAGTCTAGCCACTAAAGGACTAGAAAACCTGTATGTACTACCACGCCTTGTGTGATCAGTTTGAAATAAGAAAGCTGGGGACTGGCAGGATCACCAGCTGTTTCACACAAATGAGGAAAAACAAAAAGAACAGGATACTTATTAACACACGTACATTGTACAACAGACACATATCAGGAATATTAAATGTTTGAGTAACATACACTTTAAGCACTGTTGTTTTAATATGTTTCTCATTATTTTGCCTTATAGGTTAAAATTTGGTTCCAGAATCGAAGAGCAAAGGAGAGAAAGCTTTTCAAAAAGAAAATGAATCAGTTTGAAGGATCCGGGTCTCTGCAGAGTGATTCCAGTTCAGCCAGTCCCAACCCACACTGTGACTCTATGGTACAAGGAGAAATGACAAGCTCTTTATATCAACAACGACAACTTGCACTCAATGGCCTGCATCCCGATGACATCATACAGCAAGTTGTTGTGTAAATGGGAAACTTAAGCACAGCCAATTACAACCAGAACTAAGACATTAAGATTGCTTTTGTTTTCTTCAAAACTCTGAAAACAGTTATCCTCTTTAACAGAGGTAGAATTTAGCAGAAATTGGAACTATGCATAAAGAATGTTTAAGAGTTCCTGTTATGCCAGAAGATGCCATAACAAAATTGTTACAGCTCTCCAGCATAAACTGAAGGAAGAAGACAATGTTACCCTTTTTATAACCATACCAAAGTCAAATGTCTGGTTTACTTTGGTTAACTAAGAACTTACTTGTTCTTCATTTTAAATGTTACATGTAACTACTTTACATGCCCTATGATTATTTGTCATCGAGTGTGTACTGAATATTGTGGTTTAATGCTAACATTTTCTCTGTACAAATGTTTCAACTGAAATCTTACTGAGAAATAATACTGTTACTGAGAACTCTTTAACCCAAATTATTTTCACATTGATTAGAACCAGTACAGTTTTAGTCTATACTCCTTCCAATACCAAATTGCTGTAAGGAAAAGGATTGAAACAGTTCAGTGATTTTGTACATTCGTGTGAACAGAATAAAAGATTAGAGCTTCTGAAAAAAGCAAGCTGACTTAAATTAATTACTGGCATATACTAAATATATATATATATATATATATATATATATATATATATATATATACACCTTTTATTCTGTCCATGCAGCTAAGTGTGTAATAATAAGCTTCAATGCACACTCAGCAATAAAAAATTGTCAAAAGATTTCAACTTGTATGCCAAATTAAATATACATAAGGCTTTCATTGGCAGCAATAAAACAAGCTCAGGAAGAACACTGATTTTTTTGTTAAAAGCCTAACTCTAGTTTAAAAAATATTTTTTGTTACATATACTGTATATATATATATATATATATATATATATATATATATATATATACACACACTATATATACACACACACACACACACACACACACACACACTCACCAGCCACTTTATTAGGTACACCTTGCTAGTACCAGGTCGGACCCCTTTTTGCTTTCAGAACTGCCTTAATTCTTCATGGCATAGATTCATCAAGGTGTTGGAAACTTTCCTCAGAGATTTTGGTCCGTATTCACACGCAGCTGCTGCAGATTTGTTGGCTGGACATCCATGATGCAAATCTCCCATTCCACCGCATCCCAAAGGTGCTCTATTGGATTGAAATCTGGTGACTGTGGAGGCCATTGGAGTACAGTGAACTCATAGTCATGCTGCCTTACCCTGCTGGAAATAGACACCAGGAGATGGGTACACTGTAGTCATAAAGGGATGGACATGGTCAGGAACAATACTCAGGTAGGCCATGGCATTTAAACAAATCTCAGGTGGTACTAGGGGGCTAAAGTGTGCCAAGAAAAAATCCCCCACATCATTACACCACCAGTCTGAACCGTTGATACAAGGCAGGATGGATCCATGCTTTCATGTTGTTTATGAGAAATTCTAATCTTACAATGTTGCAGCTGAAATCGAGACTCATCAGAGAAGGTGTTTTTCCAATCTTTTATTGTCCACTTTTGGTGAGCCTGTGGGAACTGTAGCCTCTGTTTTCTGCTCTTAGCTGACAAGAGTGGCACCTGGTGTGGTCTTCTGCTGCTGTAGCCATCTGTTTCAAGGTTCAACATGTTATGCATTCAGAGATTGTATTCTGCATACCTTGGTTGTAACAAGTGGTTACTTAAGTTACTGCTATCTTTTTATCATCTTGGACCAGTCTGCCCATTTTCATCTGACATCAACAAGGCATTTTTGTCCACACAACTGCCGCTCACTGGATATTTTCTCTTTTTGACCTTTCTCTGTAAACCCTAGAGATGGTTGTGCATGAAAATCCCAGAAGATCAGCAGTTTTTGAAATACTCAGACCAGCCCATCTGACACCAACAACCATGTCATGTTCAAAGACACTTAAATCCCATGTCTTCCCCATTCTGATGCTTGGTTTGAAATTCAGCAAGTTGTCTTCACGTCTAGATGTCTAAATGCATTGAGTTGCTGCCATGTGATTGGCTGATTAGCAATTTGTGTTACCAAGCAATTGAACAGGTGTACCTAATAAAGAGGCTGGTTAGTGTATATACACACAATATAAATATTATATACAATACTGTGAAAAAAGTTTTAGGCAGGTATGAAAAAAGCTGTATATTAAGAAATAGAAATGTTAATAGTTTATTTTTATCAATTAACAAAATGGAAAGTAAATGAACAGAAGAGAGATCCAAATCAAATCAATATTTGGTGTGACCATCATTTGCTATCAAAACAATATAAATTCATCTAGGTACACTTGCACACAGTTTTTGAAGGAACTTGGCAGGTAAGTTGTTCCAAACACCTTGGAGAACTAACCTAAGATCTTCTGTGGATATAGGATGCCTCAAACCCTTCAGTCTCTACATGTAATCCCCCACAGACTCGACGATGTTGGGATCAGGGCTCTGTGAGAGACAAACCATCACTTCCAGGACTCCTTGTTCATCTTTATGCTGAAGATAGTTCTTAATGATATTGGCTGTATGTTTGGGGTTGTTGTACTGCTGCAGAATAAATTTGGGGCCAGTCACACCCCTCCCTGATGGTATAGCATGATGGATAAGATTTTGCCTGTATTTCTCAGCACTGAGGACACTTGATCCTGATCCAAATCTCTAACTCCTTTTGCAGAAATGCAGCCCCAAACTTTTAAGGAACCTCCACTGTTGCCTGCAGATACTCATTATTGTACCGCTATCCAGTCTTCACAAACAAACTGCCTCCTGCTGCAGCCAAATATTTCACATTTTGACTCATCAGTCCAGAGCACCCATTGCCATTTTTCTGCACCCCAGTTCTATGTTTTCATGCATAGTTGAGTCACTTAGCCTTATTTCCACATTGGAGGTATGGTTTTTTGGTTGCAATTCTTTCATAAAGATTACTTCTGGCCAGATTTCTCCAGACAGTAGAAGGGTGTACCTGTGTTTCACTGGTTTCTGCCAGTTCTGTGCTGATGGCACTGCTGGACATCTTCTGATGTTTAATTGAAGAAAGAATGATGCGTCTTTCATCTGCTGCAGTAAGTTTCCCTGGCCAACCACTTCATCTACAGTCCTCAACAGTGCACATTTCTTGTGCTTCTTCAAAAGAGCTTGAACAGCACATCTTAAAACCCCAGTCTGCTTTGAAATCTTTTCCTGGGAGATAACTTGCTGTTGCAGCATAACTACCTTGTGTCTTCTTGCTGTGCTCAGTTTTGCCATAGTGTTTGGCTGTTCCTCACTCAATTTTAAGCCTCCCACACAGCTGTTTCTGTTTCAGTTAATGGCTGTGTTTCAACCTACATATGAAGTTGATGATCATTAACTCCTGCTTGGTTAGTCATACACCTGACTCTAATCCTAGAAAATCCTTGACTATGGTGTTTATTCACTAAAGGAAAGCAGACTGTGCACTCTGCAAGACTAGTTTCTCCAGAGCTTAGTAAATGAGCAGAAGCTCTGCAAACTTCCATCATTCAATAATTTTCAAGCAAAAATGCTGTTTTTTCTTTTATTTTTCCTTGCACGTGATTGGATATTCTTTGCGAAGTGAAGCTTTATTTGCCTTTAGTAAATCAACCCCTTTGTGCAAGTGTACAAAGTGTGCAAGTGTAAGAATTGGTTCTGGTGTCCGTTTATGAACCAGCGATAAATGATCGCTGCTCAGTTCTCCGGCATTCTCAGAGAACACAGTTCTCCTGTGAATGCCTTTTATGAAGCAGTTCTCCGAACGAAGGGAGAACGGTCTCTAAACGCTGGAGAAAAGTCTACAAATGGTGGAAAACGGCTGATTTTACTATAATCTCTCGAGATTACAGTAAAAGATCAGTTTACTAAGCAGAGGTAAATTATCACTGCTTAGGTGTCCGTTTATGACATACAGAATAGCTGAGATTCAGAGGATCACAGCTATTCTCTGGTCATTCACAGTTTATGACACCCAGGAGAATATGTTCAGTCCTTCTCTGGAGATCTGTGTTCTCCCTCCAGATTCTCCAGCCCAGAGCTGGAGAATCGGGAGGGACCGAAAACTAAGCAGAGATAATTTACCTCTGCTTAGTAAACTGATCTTTTACTGTAATCTCACGAGATTATAGTAAAATCAGCCGTTTTCCAGTGTTTGTAGACCGTTCTCCCTTCGTTTGGAGAACTGATCTACATATGCTTCATAAACGGCATTCACAGGAGAACTGTGTTCTCCGAGAATGCCGGAGAACTGAGCAGCGATCTATTACTGCTGGTTCATAAACGGACACCTTAGTTTGCAGTCCCTCCGATTCTCCAGCTCTGGGCTGGAGAATCTGGAGGGAGAACACAGATCTCCAGTGAAGAGCTGAACAGTGCTCCACTGATCTCCTGAGTGTCATAAACTGTGAATGACCAGAGAATAGCTGCGATCCTCTGAATCGCAGCTATTCTCTGTGTCATAAACGGACACCTCTGAAGCCAAAGGGTAGTCACACCAGGTATTGATTTGATTTAGATTTTTATCCTGTTCACTCACTTCGCATTTTGCTAAATTGGTAATAATAAACAATGAAAATATATATTTTTACTTTGCAGCATTTCTTCACAACTGCCTAAAACTTTTGTACAGTAATACACATATATATATATATATATATATATATATATATATATATATATATATATATTGTATATTATGACTCTGTTTGGACATATTTTCTCTTACTTCCTGTGCCTGTAAAGCTTTAACAAGAAATGGGGAGTGTGGTCATCACCAGCTAAGGAGATCATAGACAACCAAAAGAACACTGTTATATGTTTTTGCTGTTCTTAAGTCTACTAAAAAGCTTGGCGCTTCAGTCAGATTTGTATTCTTGTCTATATTCTTTTGAAAGATTTACCCTCATTTTCTATTTTTTATTATCACTGTAACTAATAAAAAAATATCTCCAACAGGGACAAAAAAATA